GACCATAAACCTTAAAAATAGTAAAAGAATGGCTGAGAAATATGGATGACACCAATGTCATCTTATAGAAATTCTACAGACTCCTCCAATTTGTTTTAATCTCATTTATATGGAAAAATACATTTAAGTTTTCATACTATTATACTGCAAATGAGCTTAATTTCTCAGTGAATTTATTTATGCATTTACTTGTCTTGCTTCAGTAATTTTCTTTTAATGTGCTCTCAATGCTTATTATAAAAGCAAGGTTCTCATCTATTAGAATTTCCAAAAGATGGAATCAAAAATTAGATTCTAGGGAGGGATATAATAGCACTGATTCCAGATTTAATGGACAGATTTTTTTTTTAACCTACCAGCAAATCTGGTCATTAGAAAATAAGTTAATGATTTCAGAAATGTACAACATAAAAAGCCAGCCTTAAAAGGACCTTCGAAAGTATATGTTCAATGCTCTTGTTTTTCAGACAAGGAAGGCTCAGAGGGAAATAAATGATGTCTTAAAAGTCACAAGCTAGTTATAGAAAGAGCAAGTTCTCTTAACTCAATGTGCAAACACACTTTGCTTTCAAGAACAGTACATTTAGACAATCATTTAGAGGTTACACAGTAGAAACTTCAAATCCTATGCATTTTATATATGTTTACATTCACTTAGTTGTGTTTATTTTGGCAGCCTGAGATCACACAGTAAATACCCAGTGAGTGTGCCAGGTCTATGTTTAAGGTTATGTCTATTCCTGAAGCTCTAACACTATCTAAAGCATCTAATTCCATCTACTCTCTTCACCATGCATGGCCAGGATAGCACTGATTAAAAGAAAATTATTTTATAAACTATTAGTTTGCCAAAACTAATCAGACAGAAATTAATAACTTCAGGTGGGTCTTGGTCTTTAGACTAATACTAAATTTAGTCATGCATATTTATTATTCATTCAATCAGTATTTGCAGAACATGTACTACATGGTTCTAGAGATAGTGCAGACAACAGTAAGCAAGACAGATCAAGTTCTTGCCTTCATGGAACATCCAATCAAGAAGTTTAAGCAAAAAATAAACAGATAAACAAATGAACAAAATGATTTCAGAGCCCTAGAAGTGTTATTGGAGAAATAAGACTCGATGGTAATAATGGAAAAGATTCTATTTTTGAAGAGGTGACATGAACTATAACCTCTATTGTAAGAAAAAGGCAGCTGCATGAGAAGCAGAAGAGCATCCCAAGCAAAAGTAAAAGCAAACTGCAAGCCTCTAGTGGATACAAGTTCGTGGTTTGGCTGCACCACAGTCTGCAAGGAGCAACAAGGTGGTGAAGACACAGGCTACATAAGGGATTTGAAATATTTTTCTAGTAGATTATGTAAAGATAAATCATCCTTTAAGAAATGAGTCTGCAAATACAAAAAATTAACTGGGCATGGTGGCGCGTGCCTGTAATCCCAACTACTCAGGAGGCTGAGGCAGAAGAATTGCCTAAACCCAGGAGGCAGAGGTTGTGATGAGCTGAGATTGAGCCATTGCACTCCAGCCTGGGCAACAAAAGCAAAACTCAGTCTTAAAAAAAAAAAAAAAAAGAAAAAAGAAAAAAGAAAAGAAATGAGTCTGCATGCCTCCATATAATTTTATTATTTTATTATATCCAGGCAGAGCAAATCTCTGCATTAGAAAAGCCATCATGATTCTCAACCACGTGTAATTTACTTATTCAAAACATATAAAAAACAAGGCTCAGGCAAGGGTTTGAATATGACTTTGCTTACAGCATTTTGATCACCTAGAATTCAGAACTGCATTCTGTTTAAACCTGAGGGGTGTACAAATTCACTCTCATTTGATTCACTTCATCCAACAAGTAAAGTCTACTAAGGTTGAACTCACTTATTACTACTGAATTAGTCAAATGACAGTGTTCTTTAAATTACGTGATGCATATTTTTGAACTAGTATAATCTATTTATATAGCATGGGTGTCACACTTGTCATATATAGAAAACAGCATATAAAAACAATCAATAATTTCCTACACTAGGCTGCCCTGTAAGAGAAAACATCTACATGTATAAATATAAAGACCTTGGGCCACCTGAGATTGAAAGATACGAATCAAGAATATGAATTCTATGTTTGCAACCAGCAACCTGTATGTCCAAGCCTGGGCAAGATTCTTACCCTCTCTGAATCTCATCTCTCTCAATAATACAGGTTAATATACATTCCTAGCTTGAAGAGACAATGAAGCAAGAATTTCTAAGTGTTTAGCACAAAGAATAAACTCAATAAATTTTGGTCTTTTCCCCTCATATATTTTTTTATAACGAAAGTAGTATCATTTACAATATGAGAACTACAATCATGCAAATTGTATTTGTCTCTTTTAATCAAAATTTTATGGTTTTGGTCACATAAGAAAGAAAAGTAAGACAAAGAAACCATTTTTAAAGCTCTTCACACACCAAAAACTGAATTAAGACCTTGTTTTTTAATTGTTTTCCTGCCTGAAATCATCCTATTCTGACTGTCTAGCTTCTCTACAGTTTCCAGTGTGTTTCCTTCATCACACACACACACACACACACACACACACACACACATGCCTAAACACAGTAAATCACAGTTAATTGCATGTCTTAAATTAAAAGACAAAAAAATTGCACAATTAATTGGGGGAAATTGTCAGTTGGTGAATGAATCTTGCTCACTACACTCTGTGCACAGGGTGCATGCCAAGTGCATATTCCAAGCTGGATGATTCACTCCATGCCTCTGAGGAGAGGTACATGGGCACAATCTTTCTGCACAGCAGTCTGGTCAGAAAAATCAAATGCTTTAAAACACTCAACATTTCAATTGTCGTAGCAATAGCTATCTCTACAAGGTTGTTCAGTACAGGACTAAGCATAACAGTGAAAAATTAGAACTAAAATGCTCATTAATAAGGACCTGAATAGAGTCTAGGTTTGACCATGAATGGAAAAAAATCTAAGTTGTTACAGTTACAAATGATTTTGTTAAGCTTAATAACATGTGAAAATGTTCATGACATGTCATTTGAAAAATGCTAACAAAATAGTATATTTCTTCTTTGAAGCTATGTAATATGCTGGTGAAGCAAAAAATGAGAGAAAGAAGTGGGAGAAAGCTACTGGGAAAATAAACAAGACAAATGTTAACATTTGTCATCTCTGAGTTGTTTATACTTTGTACATTTTCTAATTTTCTAAAACAATCATCTAAATTTTTAAAAATTACATTTCAATTTGTTTTTGAATCTGATACTTTAAAACGTCAGTTTTAAAATAAAATAGAATCTTTTAAGATGAACTTACCCATTACAATGAAAACATGAGCATAAAATTAAAAAAGAATCCCTAGTAAGCACATACATACAATCCTACTGTATGCTTGGTTATATCAATAAATTAAATTCATAAAAATGTATTTTATAAATATACAACAAACACATGCTGATACAATTAAATGCTTAATACCATAATCTATTTCAACATATACCTTACAGTATATCCACACACCATAAGAAAATCACTATAAATACTTTTTCATTTCCTGACGCTGACCAACTACAGAATATATTCACAGTAAAGCCAATAATCTGAATTTGAGAAACTCCAAACCTTCTCTTTTTTACCCCCTATTCTCCCATTATTTTCTACCCTATTATAAAAAGACTTTATACCCAGCTATCTAGTGTAATTCTAATGCTAAAATCTGGCAATAAACCATACATACAAACACACTAATGCACACAGAATTTCATCATTTTATCAAAGCAGGAAATGACAAAGTTTTATAATATATTCCTAGTCAACTAGTCATACTAAGTTTTGTTGTATTTCATTTTTGAATAAAAGAATTTATAAAATCCAACAAAGTAGATTCATTCCAAAGGTATTCAGCAGTCTACTAACCTTAAAATAAGAAAGAAACATTTCCTGCCTTCTTTTATATAATGGGGTATGGAGAGGGAAAAGAAAACCACATTTCAGCAAAAGCCCATATCTCAACCTCAGGCATCTCTATGTCCCAAGGGTAATATTTTCATTCTATTCTTAATGGAACAAATTTCTAATCAGAACATGTATTCAAAAATAATTGAGGCAATGCAATGTCAACATATCATGCTGCCACCAGGCATCCCCCGGTGCTCAGAATCAACTCAACACAATCTCCAGCGTGATAGAGAGCCTGGGCGATGTAAAATGTCAGACTTGATCAAGGGAAGGGGTGCTAGCAAGGAGCATACAATAGTTGTGCTCCCCTTTGGATGCTCAAACATAGTGTTTGGAGGAAAGCTTCTATGCTGGAAGAAGACAATCTTAAAACGTCCAAGGAAGGAAAGACTTACAATGCCCACTCCAGAACCTCAACTTTTAAATAGTAGTAAGTGTCTACTTTTGTAAGGGTATTGAAAATACTTGAAACAACAGTCAATTCTGGAAAGGTTAACGCTAAATCTAGCTTTCTAGTTATTAAAGCCTCAGGGCAATGTATATTATTGAATATATCCTGCAATCCTCTTAAAGGTCCAGAGGTTTAAATTTAAATTTCTCTAAGTTTGGCAAAATGCTGATAATTGTTAAAGCTGGGTGATGAGTCACTGAAGTTCATTATATTATTTTTTCTACCTTTGAGTATATTTGACATTTTCATAATAAAAGTTTAGAAAAATAGATTTTTGCTCAAGGAGTATATATTTTATGTTAAAAATTTTACTGACTTTTACTTTGGAAATATATATTAACAAGATGTGGTTTATGTTATTATTAAAGACTCTAACAAGCAGTCTGAATTTTATAAAATTCCACAAAGCATTATGTTGTATGCTATCATAAAAAAGAAAAAAAATCCTTCATTCTAGAAAAAAATATACCATGATCTATGATGACAGAAGAAGTGCACCTAAACAAATGCAGTGCCACCATCTGCCTGGCATTCTCACATTGTGACAAAATAGACTAGTAATTAACTGCTTTCTTACCGAAATCTGCTAGCTTCAACTCCCCCGTGTCACTGATCAGAAGGTTCTGTGGTTTCAGGTCTCTGTGCAAAATATAACGCTGGTGGATGTAAGACAGACCCCGCAGCAACTGAAATAAAAACAACTGAAAAAATAAGGAGACAAAGGTTAAAATCTGAACACAGATAAATGCCAGTTTCTACATATAGTCTGCTAAGTACTTGTATTAACATATAGTGAAAACGGGTAACCCTTACCAAATATTCTAACAAATTATTTCAACAGAATGTGAGATATTAGCATGTAAATTCCTAATTCATCAAGAAGCAAATCTAGGAATTTCTAACAACCTATTATATCAACCCCAGAGTGATACTTCCCCAGCCAGAGAGATCTATACTCAAATCAGTGTTCCTTAAATTAATTAAAATGTAAATAACCAATTTTTTATAATTGATTTAGTCTTCAGGACTAAAGCGATGTTTGAGAAGAAAGGAAATCTATTCATAACATCATAAAGATTTTTAAAAGAGCTGTTTACCAAGTTTATGTCAATATGCACACATTTAATTCATAGAAACAACATAAATATGTACCCACAAATTCACCCATTAACATGCTTTGAGGAATAGAAAGATAAGATGATTTGAAATAATTAAAACAAAAACAATCATATTGTCTAACTAATACTGCATTATAATTACACTGCGTTTGCATATATGGTCATAGAGATTAGGCTGCTGCCTAAAGACAGACATGTACGTTCACTAATTACAAAGCAAACCCATCCTAAAGGGAAAGGAGACACAGAAAACAGAAGTCAAGAATTTGAGAGTAATACTTTTGTAAGAAATAATTTCAGAAGTGATTAATAGCCTTTTCTGTGAAGTTTCATATTGGATCATACGAAAGGTTTCTATTTTGATAAACAAAAAAGTGTGATTCACTAGGCTTCTCAATATTCTTCTTATGAAAAAGGGAATATTTTTAAACAATTACTTGCCAAAATAATCCTAAGTGACATGAAAAAAAAATCTCCTAAAACAAAAACAAATGTTCTTACTTTTAAGAGCCACCAATATTCTAGTCTATATAACCAGCTAGTAACCAAAGGCAGTTTCAGGGAAATTTCAAATGAGTTGTAAAAGATGAATGATATAAGGATTCTGAAATATTTGAATAGAAAAGATTGGCAACTTCCTGAGGGCCCTGGAAGGTAGCATTTCTGGAATGTTCTGACTAAGCAGGGGCTTTGAAAGCCAACTGAATTTCATTATACCTTGAAATAACAGTAAAGTTAATTTATCTCAAAATCTTTATATGTGACAATGTGTATGGGGGGACAGCTTAATATCATTATTTCCAGAGCCTAAGCAGCAGAAAGTAGAAGTCTGTTCTGTTTAGTGAAGATTAAAAGACTAGCTCAAGAATCTCAGGACGCAAACATCTCTCCGCATTTGTCTTCTCAATCCTTCTTGTACAACAAACAGAAGGACTTGAGTTCATACCATCACTAGCAGCTGTCAGCCTCATTCTTCACTTCCAATACTCCCCGCATCCTGAAGCCTAAAAAGCTTACAACTTCTAAGACAATTCGTACTTCTTTAGTTTAGAATGAAGGAGGGAAAAATAAAGCCACTTTGTATTATCAAAGCCTTTTAAAAAAACCAAAACAAATACACAAAGGCAGACCACACAACAAACTTAATTTTAAAAATTGATTTTGAAAAGAAAGTTTGCCATTGTACAAGACGCTACCTGATCTTAGGGACCTGTGAGAATCTTATCAGAATGTAACTGTCTGTTTAATCATGGCAATGCATTTTAATTTAACAAATACATAGCACTTACTACGTATCAACTGCTGTTCTATGGAGTTTATAGAATATTACTTCATTTGACCTTATAACAATTTTAATGAAGCAGGTACTACTATTAACCTCCGTATTAGTAATGAGAAAACTAAGTGCAGTTTCTCAAGATCACACAGCAATTAAGTGGCAGAGCCAGGACTCAAACCCACAGTCTGATTCCAAATTCTCTGCTCTTGACCATCTCACCATCTCACTCATCATCTTGGCCAGAAATCAACACCAATATACAAAGTATTGCTAGAAAACTGCTTCATCCAATGAACAGAATAAAATCTGGGAATCTAATAACATGGCTTTCTAGGCCACTGAGATGAGCACTGATTCCAACTGAGGGGCTCAGGCATTGTTTTTTGCAGGGGGCAGGCTCAGGCATTATTCCTCCACATTCCCCAGCTCCAAGAAACCTTGCCCACCCCAACACTCAGCACGCTGATCCTCAACCCTGTACTTTTCTCCTTGCTTCTCCTTAGCCAGAAAGGCCCTCTCTTCCCTTGGCCTACTACTTTCCATGCATTCCATAGTCTCTCCTCAGGAACTGCTCCTCCCTGGAGCCTTCACTGACCACCCTGTAAGCCCTTGTACCCCTACAGGTCTGTGTGAGGTGCTCCTCCTCCCTGCTCCCAGGGCAGCCTCTGCATACATCTATCACAGTATGATAATTATCCTAGCACCCATAGGCTGTGTGCTTTAACTATCTTTATAACTTGAGTTATGTGAGTCATGTGACTACTGATCTGAATTTAGAGACATCTGGATGGTAGCAGACAAAAACAAATAACAGGCAACCTTGGAATGGAATTCTCTAGAAGCTAAGGGCAGAAGTAGGTAAATTAGGCAGTTTCAAAGAACTCTTCCTTACTACTTTTACTAATTAGTGAAAATAGATACTCCTCATACTAATCTAGAAGCTATTCAAATAGAATGTCATATTAAACGAGATTTAAAAAGCAGTACTGGAGAAAAAAACGCCACTATACACTCCAATTATAAGTGTATACATGACAAATTAAGCCCCAAACATGACAAATACAGCCCCAAACAAATGTCAGAACAAATCTCCACAGCATAAATTTATTTAAGATTTATTAAGTATCAACCATATGTGCCAGGTGCTGTTATGCAAGAGGGATGCCAAGAGGAATAAGATATAAGACGTGGTCCCTAGACTGGAGGAGCTCACAGCTATAACTTGGCATGACAGACACACAAACAGATCACTGTGACTGAGAGGTCTGTATTGTAAAAGCAACACAAACTGAGCATACTGAAAGCACAGAGAAGGGTGGATCCAACAACAACAAAAAAGTAGTAGAATTAATTTGGCTGTTACAAGAAGAATAACCTGTGAGAAGGGAATGAATCACAGAAAACTTGCCACTCTGAAAACAGAATTCATTACGTGTAAAATTTCGAAAGGAAACTGAGTTGAGCACTCACCAAACACGGAAGTTAAAATGTTATGACAACCCCCTTAACATTCTGAGGAAAACACTGAGGAGACCAAGCAAGCAGGTGCAACATAAATTCTAAGCAAGACAATATATGAAACTAAACCTACCAAATCAGCCTCATAAAATTAACTGTGGCAAGGGGATGATCAACTTTCTGAAAACCGTTAGAAAATTGTTTTATGTTGGAACTCAGAAACTGATACCCTCAAAATGGCACTTTAACATGCTGAGCTGAAGAAGCCTGAAGGTCCCTTTAACCTTCTGCCCTACTTCCCATCCCTGCCACTGTCTCTCAATCCTCTGTCTCTCCCAAAGCACAGAATGAAGTTGTTCTCTGAAGTCCGTTTATCTGCCTAAAATCTGGACCTACCAAAGAAGAAAACAATTACCTGTGGCACCTTCCCTGAGTTTAACTGAACTCATATCCTAGGAAGAAAGACTGAAATCTGTCAACACACCTGGACAGACTTTTGTCACAAACCACTGTCTGCTCTGCAGGCCCAATGGACTTAGTCCCAAGCCACTTGTATATATATTCTTCAGTCTCATTTAATTTCCTTAATAATCATTTACCACACTCCTAAAATCATCTATACCTTCCCATCTCCCTTTCTCCTAATAAGAATATGTAAACATCTATTCACATTGGGTTTCTGGGTAACTATTCTCCTATGATGCCCTTGTGCTATGCACATTAAAATAAATGTATAGGCCGGGTGCAGTGGCTCACGCCTGTAATCCCAGCACTTTGGGAGACCAAGGCAGGCAGATTACCCGAGATCAGGAGTTTGAGACCAGCCTGGCCAATGTGGTGAAACCCCATCTCTCCTAATAATATAAAAATTAGCCAGTGTGGTGGAACAGATCTATAATCCCAGCTACTCAGGAGGCTGAGACAGGAGAATTGCTTGAGCCAAGGAGACAGAGGTTTGTAGTGAGCCAAGGTCATACCACTACACTCCAGCCTGGCAGAGGCAGAGCAAAACTCTGTCTCAAACAAATAGATAAATAAGTTTATGCATTTTCTCAAATCAATGTGCATTTTGTGAGTGAATTTTTCTGTGAACCTTTAGAGGGTCAAGGGGTAGTTTTCCCTTGACCCCTACCATTTACAAAAAAACATTTTAATATGCTTAACAAAATATACACTGACAGATAGGGGTGGAAAGGCTCTGAGGAAGCAGCACCCTACTGAGTTCAATGGGATGCCCCATGGATTACTCTGGGAATGTCTTTAGAACTCAAGCTGCCTGTAATCCCAGCACTTTGGGAGGCTGAGATGGGCAGATCATGAGGTCAGGAGTTCAACAGCCAACATGGTGAAACCCCATCTCTACTAAGCATGGTGGCACATGCCTGTAATTCCAGCTACTCGGGAAGCTGAGGCAGAAGAACTGCTTGAACTGGGACCCGGAAGGTGAAGTTTGCAGTGAGCTGAGATTATGCTACTGTACTCCAGCCTGGGCTACAGAGCAAGACTCCATCTCAAAAACAAAACAAAACAAAACAAAACAAAAAAACAAAAAACAAGCAAACCGAACAACTCAAGCCTAGAGAGATTCTTTTAGACAAACAGACAAGTCTTTAATTTTCTAATTTAAATTTTTGAGAAAATCACTTCACTTGGTTGTTGTATAAAACACACAGCAAGCTATACTTGATCTTCTATGAAAAACCAGAAGACCCTGTGAGAACGAGAATGGCCACTAAGGAGGAGGACACACACATTCTTTTTCTATAGAGAAAGAATCAGCTTTGCTAATAAAACATGAAACACCAGTGGATAATCAGGCACTAAAAAAAAAAAAAAAACAGAAAAG